CTGGCCCTGGACCGGAGACTCCAGATCGTCCTCGAGACAGTCCGGGCGTGCGTCGAGGCCCACGGAGAGCGGAGCGTTGTAGCCGAGGGCGCCGCGGAACAGTCGGCCCCAGACCCCGGCCCGGCCCACTTGGCACGCTAGGCGCTCGGGTCCCGTTTCCGAAGGCACGCAGGCAGCCAGCAGCGTGGACCCGGGAGTGCCGGAGGCCGGCGCGAGCTCGGGAGGAGGCGGGCGGGGTGTGCGACGGCCGGCGGGACCTGCCGCGCTTGGCCTCGGCCCGCCGGCGCACTGCTTCTGTAGTGAGCTGCCGTGGCCCCGTTTTTCCCAGAAGGCACTGGCTCCGTCAAGGCCACAGACCGTCTTACCTGGCTGAGCACACTGGAAACCTGGATATGGGTCGGGCTTGGAAGCCGTGCTCCCAGGGGAAAGTCGGAACTGTGCCGAGTCCAATGGGAGGACATCAAGTGGACGCCTGACTGTCCTCCAGGTTTGTGTTAGATCTACAAGCAAAGGCCAATTCCTGCGCCAGATACAGCACCTGGCAACTCACAAGGGGACGCAACACATGCAGATGTAACTAACTCTCCAACTGGTTCAAACTGGACTTCACACTTTCCATTTAGTCTAGTCACTGGCCTCACCCAAATACAACAATCCCCACTGCCAGGTCCCAGAGTAACTTCTCAGAGCTATTATTACAAGAGGTAAGAATAAAATAGCAGTTTGCTCAAAATATCAGAAACCAAGCGTTTCGCTCTGAAGCGTATTAAATATAAACTGAAATAACATCAAGTATGTCAAACTTAGCCGCCAGGGACCACATTAATAAATGCTAATGACAGGCGCAGAAGAGGCGGCGCCCAAGGGTCAGGACAGTGTGGGAACAGGCGTCACAGGGACCTGAGCCCGGAGTGAGGCAGGAAACAGTCCTCTTCCACAAACCCCAGGACTGGCCCCACCCACCCCACAGAGGCAAGAGTGGCTTTCTGGAGAGGTGAGCCCCTGGGTACCCTTCCCTGTGGCTGCTGGTCAAAAAGGACTACATCAGGTTTTTTACTCCAGCTTCCCTAAAAAGTGACTGAGTAGAGATCCTCTGCCTCCTCCACCTTCTCCCTACTGACTTGCTGGCGTCTGAAACTCCGCTAATAAGGCCTTCTTATTCCGTAATCAATGCAAATGACAGGAACATACTCATTCTATGGAGTCATTAGTCAACAAGTAAAAATACCTGATTTCAGCAGATCAACTTTTCTGATAAAGGCCAGAGGCTCAAATACTGTGAGAGGCACAGAAAGGAGTTGTCGCTAAACTGAGTACAAGGTCAAGAACTAGAAATGTCACCCAAGACTTCTGCCATGTGTCCAACGACAGCCCAACAGGACCAAAAACAGGTGCTGCTGAGCCCCCTGCACCTTGTGTCTCCACGGTTAACTACGTCACTACCATTCACTGAGTCGTCACCACGTGTGGTAAGAGCTTGAGCCACCTTACAGACCAGTCCTCCCAGAATGCAGCTGGAACCCCCACCCTCCAAGGTGCATGGAAAAAACTCAGGCTCGGCGAGATCAGTGACACGGCTTGACGGTTCAGACCTGTTCCGAAGTGTTCTCTCCACCGTAACAGAAAAACCCAACAGCATCTCGCCCCTTTGTACTTGTATCTGTCTGCTATAAAGAAAACTCCTGCGTGGAGGAACCCCGATGACCGAGACCTGCCTGCCTGCGGCGGCCCTACCACCACACAGCTTCCACTTGATCCATTTTCACGAACTTCAAGTCACTGTTTCCCTTGGAGGGAGGGGTCGGGAAATCACACAGCAAAGAGCAAAGGATATTCCGGAAAAGATACTCCAAGAACAGCACAAAATGCTTTGGGATTTCCAAATGGCAAAGTCCCAGGAAAGTCGGCGACAGCCACCTTAAACCCAGGCTCGTCTATGGTAGTGGCCTGGCTTTTGAATGGCCTATACACAAATTTTGCTGCACTTTATAAACTCAAAGTAATAGGAAAGAACTTGACCATGATAGGTAGACTACCTATACACCTTACTGTACACCTAAATTTTAACATGCCTTTTTTTGATTAATAAGAAAACTAAGACTCGTTTGTCAAAAATACCAGAAAACATTCCATTTTTTGGTGGGGTTTTTTTTTTTTTTTTGTAGAGACGAAGTCTTGCCAAGTTACCCAGGTCGGTTGGTCTCGAACCCCTGGGCTCAGGCAATCCTCTCACCTCCACCTCCCAAAGTGCTGGGCTTACAGGCATGAGCCACCACGCCTGGCCTCAATTTTGTGAATATTAAGTTCTCCCAACTTGTTCATCTTCCCATGAAATAAAAATTCTCCTGACTCTATGTGAAAACTTTTTATGTTATTACTGACAGCAAACTAAAAATAAGTAAGAACTGTACAGTATATAAATTGGTAGAGAGAGGGGTTTGGAGGATTTGTTTTAACCTTCCTAAAAGCCAAGAAGACAATTTGAGTTTGAAAACTATTTAAAAAATAACGATCTTAAAGTCACCATGAACACTGAATTGGCAAATACTGAACCACTGCTCCTAAAAGAAACACAGGACTAGGTTCCGGAGACTCTCTGGTCCCATCTTTGTCAACTCATCTATACATAACAGTGTTTATGTGTGCTATGTGTTCAGGTGTGTTTAGATACCTACAACACAGATCAACTCATTAACATGGCGCCCAGGCCTCAACAAAGCTTACTGTATATATCTTTTACATAAGATCCATCACAGCCTTCTTGCACTTAGGGATGCTAGGTCAGCACTTCAGCACGACAGCTGGTGGCATTTTAGTAAAATCACCAACAAAAAGCACAAAAATGTAAAAAACGTGGCACTAAGAAGACCAAGAACAGAACACCTATTCCCAGTAACAGAGCTGAGACAAGGAAGTCTGAGGCTGAAGCCCCCACCTGTTCCAGCTCTGCTGGGAGACGCATGCTGGGAGCCTCACAATGTTCACTACTCTCTTCTGGCTCACGTCTGCAAGAGCACTGTGACTATCGACTATTGACTCGGGTTACAAATGTTAGCAAGTAGGCAGATTTGCAAATACAGAATCCGTGAATAATGAGGACCAACTGTAACCCATTTTAGATTCAGAGAGATAAAAAAGCTCTCCATCTAGTGGCAACCTTTAAGATCACACATCTAGCCGGGCTCCGTGGCTCAGCCTGTAATCCCGCGCCTTTGGGAGGCTGAGGTGAGTGGATTGCCTGAGCCCGCGGGTCGAGACCCGCCTGGGCAGCGAGACCTCATCTCTACAATAAATCAAAAATCAGCCGGGTGTGGTAGCGCGTGCCTGTAATTCCGGCTACTCGGAAGGCTGAGGCGGAAGGATCGCCGGAGCCCAGCAGGTCGAGGCTGAGGTGGCCGGGAGTGGCCACTGCACTCCAGTCTGGTCGACAGAGTGAGACTCCAACTCAAAAAAAAAAACCACACACAGCTATTTATGCAAAATTGGCAGCACTTTCACAAAATGAAAAAAAATCACACTTGGGTGGTTTTGAGTTTAGGTGGGGTCGGGATGAAATCACAGCTCTGCACTCACGTCAAGAAACCAATATCAGCTGCGTATGTACACAATAATGCTAATTTCTATGTAAAGTCCCACAGCATAAGAAGGGAAACAGGATTCTCTTCTTTTAAATTCATACAACCACATAGCCTTTAATGGTAGCTGTTATAATAGATGCCACTGGGGACAAATAAAATGGTTATCTCGCCATTGCTCCTAAGATGTTGCTTTAGCCCATCTCAAAATATACTGCCAGGGCCTAACAAAGGTACAAAAAAAGGTGCAGCTATTAATTTGTGGTTGGAGATAAAGAAGTGTTAAGAAAACTGACAAGCTACTTCAATTTTTCAGTGGCATCATTTACGTCATTAAGGAACAAAAAATGAGTCTACAAAGACCACTGTTTAGAGAGAAAATTAAACTATAACCAGGAAGTTCAACTCAGGAAAATGTTCTTTCATTACATTCTGTTGGACCCCAAAGGTTTCAACTCAGGTGGGTAGGGGGAAGTGATTACTGAACCTGGACAAGGTGCACAGGTTACAAAGCAGTACAAGTTAAAGAATGTTCTTCCAGCATATGAGAAGGAACCAAAAGAAACATGAATTATTTTTCAAAGAGCAGGCCCCTTGTAGTACAGGCTTCCCCCACAAGTAAGTGTTCTAGGAATCCATCACCATCAGTTATCAGCTAGCATTGTGAAAAGCTGCGCTCGGCTTCAGTGAATTTTTTGGGGGGAGGGGGTGATCCTTGCAACATGCTTGCCCATTTCGAGTGATTTACAAGCCCACCTGCCCGTACCTCACTGAGTGTTCAGCAGTTTTTGACCAAAAAATAACATGGCCCTCTTACCCCACCCCACCCTCCCTATCCACCCAATCTCACCCCCAAGGACGTTTTTTTTTTTGTTTCCTCAGATGAAAAAAGTCCTCAAAGGGAAACATTTTGTAAATGTAGAAGAGGTGATACAAAAAATGGCAGAAGCACTAAAAGGTATCAAAATTGATGAGTTCAAAAGCTGTTTTGAGCAGTGGAAAAAGCATCTGAATAGGTGGACTGCATCAAACAACTGGAGTTTAAATATGTGAGGATAAACACACTTTTTATAAATACATCCAGTTTCGGGGGTACCCTTCATACAACATATATGTAACGTCACTGGATGTGGAGAAAATAAGACCAATATACTAATGAGTACAACTTACTCATCTCCTCAGAACCTGAGGAAAAATGCATCAGAAATAAGGCATTATATATGCAAAACAGAAAATCGCCCCTAAGAAGCTAAATGCATATATATATTAAATTTAAACCAAAGAGTGTGAATCTGGAAGTGATATTTCCCCCATTAAATCTAGGAAAGTTCCAAGGCCACAGAACCAATCTGTCTTCAATAAAAAATAAATCTTTGGCTTTTGATCAAATTTTTTCCTTCCATGACACCATAGATAAATCTGCCATATCTCAATTACCCTTTAAGCAAGGTTTTGAGATCCATTCTTTGAAAAGCATTGAAAATAAACATGTTACACTTTCAAGACACAGATTCCATAATGTACTTTCCCTTTTCATTCTTGCCCACCAGAGCAGGAGACTTTTGGAGAGGGACAGAGGAAGAAGGAAAGGAGAAAGGGAAGAAAAACTGATTCATTTAAGAATTTAACTTATTTCGTTTCTTTTTATTACTTGACCTACCGTTAAGACAATCTATAACAAAAAGAATAAAGTATATTAGCACACACAGTATAATCAGACTAGTAACCAGGAAACAATACAAAATGGTCCTTTGGCCATCTATACTTTCTAGAGCAGTAGATCTCATAAATTCATTTACCAATCCCAGAAATAATGACTTCTAAAGCCCTGAATATCAACTAAGACAAATTATGCCAATTGTGATTTCTCACCTATACCTAAATTGCACAAAGATAAAGCTTTAAATGTAATAATTTTTGAATTTAGACTTATCTTTAAAGTTCTTAGATTAAAAACTACAAACGGGAGTAAACAACAAGCCAAATGATTTGAGCAAAACTCATTTAGAAAGCATTATATGTACCTAAATATACATGAACACGATTATATACATATATGAAACTGTGCAATGGTATGGCATTCCAAATAACTCACTGAAGTACATTTTTGGCATTTAAACAGAGATCAAATCAAGCTTTACACTTTTAAGACCGTGATTTTTATTTTTAGTTTTTAAACAGAAAAAGGTAGCTAAACACAAAGTACAGATCAGAAAACCCTCATGTAATACAGATTTTGGAAATTAAAAAATGTGTAATAAGGTGGTTTTCTATCCCACACTAAAATGTAAATAAAATATCTTTCCCAGATTTATACTTCAAACTTAGTAACAACCTAAAAGCTTTTCAAATCTATGAAAAAAAAATCTACCATGACCAATTTAAATTACCTGGGAAAACTACCAGTAGGAGAGGGGATCAATAATTGGAGCCAGGTACACACAGATGGAAAAATGCTTGCAGTCACTCCCAAATGTAACCCTACATGACGTTATACAGAAACCACAATGAAAATAAAAGTGCCTACATCACAGAACTGTGAAACTTTGTTTAAAAAAGAATAATAAAAATAAACTGTTGAGTATCATTGGAATAATGTAACACATAAGGCTGGAAAATACTGAAATACAGTTAAGACTCGAAACACAAGTTCACTTAAAAAAAAAAGTTTGCCATAGAAGTACGCGCTAGATAATCTAGGAAAGCAGGACTTTCAGCAAGATGGGCTTTGAGACCAATCTGAAACAACAGACACTTCTACCCCACTCCCAACCCACCAGAAATTCTAGTTGACACAAAAAGGAAGGAAAGAGGACTAAACCAAAGTAACAAAAAAACAACTTCTTCCCCAATCTCCCGCCCCTGTAAATTCAGTGCAGAATGTCCAGCACTGGATGGACTCTGTCCACCTGGCGTGTCCATTGGCAACATCACCTCCATTTCAGCATGACGTTTGTTTGACCTGGATCTAGTCTCAGCAGATCCAATCTCCTGGAATCAGTTTAATGAGCACGGGAGATTAAACAAGAGACAACTGAAGGGCGCACATGAACAACCAAGAGTGTAGGCCTCAAGTTCTTATTCCCAATTCAGCATCTGATCAATATTTGGCACTAGCTGGACAAAGGTCTAATCAGAATTTGTGAGCTGAGGCAGATGTAGTTAAACCATAACCCAATATTTGCAGTCTGTGATTTGGTTTCAAACTTAAATGGTGGTATAGACAGCCACGCCTAAAAATATCTCAGAACTGGAGAGGAAACATTAAGGTATAAGCTAAACCAGGCAAATTAGCTTGCTAACAAAAATTCTGGTTAAAAAGAAAAAAATAAAATAAAACTGAACCGATCATACCCATCTAATAATTAGCCAAAACGGGCATTTTCCACCCTTAAGCTAGTTTAATTACAGGCAGATGTCTTTCTACTAGACTGAAATTTTGCTATATCCATGTTTCCTAATCCTCAGAGCTTAATGAGAAATCATTTATTCTATAAAGAAATACAGCATATATGGCCACAGTCTAAATATGCTTATAACTGGAAAATTATGTCACTTTAAAAAAAAACTTGCACTGTTACATCATTACTCTACAGTAATTCAACTGGTGCTGGGATCTGCCCTCACCAAAAAGCATGGCACTCACTGCCCAGATTGAATACTAACACTGCACAAAGAGAAGCAGTAACAGCAAAGTCTCCATAGAACTCTTTCTATTTATTTAACTGTGTACGAGCATTTAGTTAATGCTCCAAATTAAAAACGGTGCAATAAGAGCAACTTTTAATATATAAACAGACAAGAAGCTGCAAAGCCAGTGGCCACTTGGTGCTGCAAATAGGGAAAACAAAGCAGTCTGCATGAGTGAAGCACGGACCGGGGAGAGGAGAAAGGGGAGGCACAGGAGGCAGTTCAGACAGACAGTGACACAAAACTGTTGTACTGCTGGATATTCCGTTTGAGGATGTCTGAGCATGGGCCAAGAACACGTTCAAATCTAGGTCGGTCCAGCTTAACGCACTTCAAGGGACCACGTGCAACCACCGTGGCTGCACGAGGACGATTCATCAACAGTGCGATCTCACCTGAAGAAGGGAAAGGAGAAGGGTCAGAGCAGGCTAGCATCTACGAAAAGCATTTTCTGAGAGAGCTGCATGAGAAAGAAAACAAACACTTATTTCTCTAATAACTCAGTACAGGCCCCACCATATCTGTACTGTAGCAGCTACTGAAAGATTTGAGACAATCAATAACTTAATTATTAACTCAGTTAATATCAAAACCTCACACTATTTCCCTGAAATACCTCACACTATTTCCTTTTTTGACAAAAAAAGGCTGCCATTAAAAAACAAAATTCAGGAGAAGAAAAATCATGGTAGACTACAGTATCTCCCCGAGAGGCAACTTAAAGATACCATGTATCTATTGCAAGGGAATCCACACTTACCAAAATAATCGGAAGGCCCCAATCTTCCCACTTCAACAAACTCTTCAATTTCTGACCGACGTTGCAGCACAGCAGCTGACCCCTACAACAGTGTCACCAAAAGTTGAACACACACACACTTGCAAAGCTAGGACACCATCCTAACCATCCTAAGCCATTTCAGCGCATTTGCAAAAAAAGGGGAAAGGAGGCTTCAGTGGGGATTTCAACTTATCTGTGTTCGTACGGTACAAGGTGACTAAAAAGCTAGATCATCGCGTGAGCTTCAATTTACATACAACCAGCACTCCTGCTAGCAAGGTTCTTATCAAGCTAAGGTGCTTAGAGAGTGCAGACTCAGGTTAGCAAACTGCGGATGATGAGCCAAATCCAAGTTCACAGGCTGCCTCTTCGGTAAATAAAACTTTATTGGAATACTACCCACTCATTTACATATTGTGCCAGGCTCCTTCTGCACAAAAGAGTTGAGTCTTTGCAAGAGAAACCCTATGGCGCACAAAGCTTAATTCGCCACCTTGCCTTTTACAAAAAGAGTCTCCCAACCCTTGGTTTAAATAAAACCCATTAGCAACTATGAAGCCACATTCACAGAAATCTTGTATTTAAATCTGCTTAGCAGGCAAAGGTATCTACTACACATTTCCATGAATGGTGGAGATACAAAACACAGTTAACTTTTAAAACTTAAATAATTGCTTTTGATCTTTGACTGCCAAATAGCCCAAATACTTGCATTTTAACAAGGATGCAGAATCATCATAGTTTGTTATGCTAAACGGTTTTGTTTGGATTTGACTAATCATGTCTAGGGTCCTTCCAGAACCCTGACTCAAATGTACTTCAAATATAGTGGCCCAGCAGAAAACCAAACAGTATTTCAAAGTAAAAGATAATTTTTAATTAAACTGTCTGTAAAGTATTCTTAAAAACTAAAACTACAAATCAGAATCGGCCCGCGTTTTCCTTCTTATGGTATACAACTTTTAACAGTCTCCAATGCCAAGTTCTTTACCTCTAAGATAATGAAGAACTCATCCCCTGGCTCTCCCTGCACCACAATCTTCTGCCCATCTTCAAACTGGACTGGTTCCAGCGCATCAGCTACCGTAAGACGCTCCCACTTGTCCAGAGACTCTGAAAGATAAGAATCAAAAGAACTGCTCTGTATAACTTGGTGCTGCTAAAAAGTTTAAAACGAAACAACAAAGTATACAGAGATTCAACCAAACAGCCATACCTATTGCAACACTCTAGTAGTGTCTCAAATTAAACACCTGTCTTCAAGTACCTCTCATCTCAGCAGGATTCTCCCATTACCAGGGGATGAGTCCCTGGATCCTTACTTCAGCAGCCCAGTGGCCAGGTTAATTTATACCAAACTTATCCAAAGCCAAAGGAATAAGAAAATGAATTTATTAAGTATTCCTGAAAACTCCCATGAATGCAAATTAAACCTATAGTTAAAGTACCCAAAAGTAATGGCTTCCCTATCCATATCATTCCATAGGTTCGTAGAATTTATTCATATCCTCAGTTTAATTTATGAAACTATCAAGAAGAGCTACAAAATAACTTTTAGTCCCAAAGGCCAAACTAATCGAGACACAAAGCAAACGTAACTATTGCAAAGAAAGGACAAATAAGGGAGAAAGTGTCAATTCACTGTAATAAAACACAAGACTGTCACTTTATATTTTTAAAAAAGGCCATTCTCCCTTCTTGAAAAACAACTTTTAAAAACATCTCCAAGTCCACATAACAAAATGCACAAAAGTATCTTCAATTAATCTGCTTTACTCTAAATTTCAACAAACCTCTGGCATTGTTTTCAGAGGATGCCAGCAAATGACACCTAATCTTTCCACGGAGGAAATGTACTCTTAGACATACTCACTTTCCTGAACCAATAAACTCAATGACTGAACAAGAGAGACAGAAGTCACAGAGGAAATAATGTCCACAGTCAGAAGGACACTTTCCGCCCCTTTGTCTCTTCAGAAGGAATGAGCAGCACATACACTTCCAGAGTTCTGTCCAAGTCCAATCACATTTAATTAAGGGGTTTGTCATATACTAGCAAATTCAATACACTTTAAAACTCACCTAAAATAGACACTTTACTAAGGAATTCTTCATACATCTTCCGCTTTCTCAGTGTGCTTCCCTAAAAATAACAAAAAATGACAGAAGTCATATCCCAAAAATGTGTAATTATCACACAATGCTGTGGAACAATATTAAGTTTCACATAAATTTTAAAAAACAAAGTCAAAGCTTGCTGCTGCTGTTGCTTCTTGATTTGTGATAATTTTTCTTCACGCTGAAGATGGTGAGCCCCTGTTCAGCTCTATAAAAAAGCTCTCAGTAACTTGCTCCTACAAGGAACACCAGCTACATGGTCAAAGAAGGTTCATAGCACCACCAGTTAAAAATTTCAAATGAGCAAATGATCAGTTCTCTTTAAAAAAAAAAAAAAAAGTAATATATGTGATTATAGCTGACTATATTCCCAGCCCAGAAACCTTCCCCACAACTCTAATCCCCAACAGAAGTCAGACTCAAAAAAAAAAAAAGTCCGAAAGCCCCAAATTTAACCAAGTCATCTAATCTGCAAATCTAATCTGTGTCTGTTCAATATACCTGGGAGAAAAAGAGGGAGAAAGCCCTCTATAAGAGCTTTCCTTACTTAGTAAATTGCCTTAACCATGCCCCACGCCCAAACACACACACACACACACATCAACGTACATATACAGTCATGCACTGATTAATGATGGGGATATGTTCTGAGAAATGTGTCATTGAGCAAACACCATAGAGTGTACTTACACAAATCTAGAGGGTATAGCCTACTATACACCTAGGCTACATGATGCAGCAGTGCTCCTAGTTTACGAATCTGTACAGCATGCTACTGTACCAAATACTATAGGCAACTGTAACCAAATGGTGTACCTAAACATATCTAAACATAAAAAAAGCAGAGTAAAAATCTGGTATTATAATCTTATGGTACCTGAAACATTTGTCATGACTGTATATACACATATGTACACATAGATCTCAAATACAGAAAAATTTCCAAGGACAACAAACTCTGTATTTTCAAATGACCAGATTGGCACTGTACAAATTTGAGAAAATCATTCAAAATGATTAGTTGGGACTTAAACATCTAAAGCTACTCTATAAACTTATCACAAAGTTCTCAAAAAGTCTGACTATATCACCAGAATGTTCCAACAGCTTTATTATTTTGTGTATTCTTTTCATGACAGGGGACACAACATATGTATTACCAATAATCCACTTTGATATTTTATAGTTTAGGGAAGCTGATTAGTGCTGAATGGCCTTAAATAACTTTAAGCACTTAAAAGAAGCACCTAGAAGGCTATCTGTGATCAGTAAGGTTAGATAAAGCAAAGATGTGCCTATTGGCAAACGAATAGATCTTTAAACGTGAGCTAACCGTTACATATACACATCTGGTTCTCATGCTATTTCTGGCCAAATTTCTGTTCTAAAATATCACTGTTTCAAAAGGCATAATGAATGACGCTAAGTAAGGCTTAACACAAAGCATCTGATCATTAAAAGTATGGTATATTCGCATTTTAACTTGTTGATAATACTCAAACATTAGTTACCCAGATCAGAATTCTAAATCCCACTCCAAAAACCATAGTCTCTTACCATGAGGATTCTTCTATAGCTGTCTCGGTCGATACCCCATAATTTCACATTGGTCTTCGCTTTGACAGTGGCTGCTCTTGGTGTTCCATAAATCAACGCGAGCTCTCCAAAGCTCCCTCCTTCTCCAACACTGGTTGCCCATTCATTGTTGACATAAACCTAAAGTGTAAACAACATCAAAGAAGTGTTTTTCTCTACATATACAAACAAATTAAGCACTAAAAATCCTCAAACCTTTTTTAGAAGGTCATAATCCCGAACTATTTCAAAAAGCAGATTATGTTTTCAGTACACAGTGAGAAAAACAGTTGAGTTCTGCTGAATTAAGAGTGTCTGTGGTTTACCGGATTTAACTATCAGATAAGAAAAAAGTACTCTAGAGATGATCAGGGAGAAAGGTTAGCTGAGCATTAACCCTAATCGTATATACGCAAGAGAACTGTGCTGCGCACTACATTAAACATTTTACTTGCCTTAGGTAACTGAACGTTCCAATTATCCTAAAAGACCACTGCTACTATTATCATCTCATCTGCAAACAAGACAGAATTGAGAAAGCTGTTCTCAAGTCTCCCTGCTGATGGCGGGGTCTAGAAGCTCCCTGACATGTCACACTCCACAGCACACACACTTCTTAACCGCTCCTCCAGCAAAAAGTTTTGAACAACTTATCTGGCAGAGAAATTACTTCTAAAAGTTTCGCTCTGTCATAAAAATACTTGGCAAAAGGTGTTAATGGAATTTGACATTTTAAAAAGGGCTGTAAAAGCCCTTTAGAAATGACTGCTCTGAAGCAATAAAAATCAGTACACTGACTTTTAAGATTATCCACATCTTTGCTATTATTAAATCTTACATCCATCTCTCCTTGATCAATCACATAGAAGTTATCCCCTTCATCACCTAAAAGAGAAAAGGGTAAAAAAAGTTAGAAGCATATTCCAAAATAAACAAACTGGAACTATCAAATTAATGTAAAATAATAAACTAATTTTATAGTGACACTGTAAGAAAAGAGTGCTACATATTAACACACGACAGACAAATTTCTCACTTTTCTGATACTGAGAGTGAGTGAAAATTTTTAAAAAATTGAAGCTGGCTGCCGCAAACCTGTCATTAAGCACAAGTGAAATGGTCTTTTCTAAATTGTCACCTTTTTCACGTTACAGCTGAAAGTTGGAGATATATCCAGTATTTGACTCAGACACCACTCTAATCAGCATTCCATACTTTGTACTTTTATTCAGATTATAAACCCAAAAGACAGTCTTCCACGATGAGGTAAATTCACATCAGCACAGCAATCAGCAACAGAATTTGGAATGATGTAAATTCACATCAGCGGTCACGAATGAGTTAACAATCTTTCAGGGAAAAAATTTAGCAATATATTTTAAATGTCATAGAATCGATTCTTTTTTCGTCACCTTATGGTGAAAAATGCCTCTGAAAAAAATAACTTAAAAAAAAAAGCTACATGTGTACAAAGTTATTCATTGCTATTGTAGCCGGAAGACAGAGAGGCTGTGACACCGAGGCTATTTCAGGAAGTAGCAGTTTTATTAGTGCTGGGGCAACTCAGCGGCCTCCGCTCCTAGGCTGAGCACCCCAGGGAGGGAGGAGCAGGGTCTTATACCTTAGTTTAGATAAGGGAGGGGATAGGATTGACTGACTATACATTTTCTCTGGAATTTACAAGGTTGTACTCAGCAAAACCAGATTTTCAAAGAACAAATGGTCTCCAGGATATGTATAATAAGCAGGGGTTGTAAACCGATAACGTCTCAAAGAGAGGATTTGGGTTGAGTTTGTGAATTAGTCACTATCTTGCATTTTCAGAAAAGCCATCAGCCTTTGACTACTTGGTTTTCTCAAGCAAAACCTGTCTAGTTTTCAGAGTTTGCTGATTGATCTCCAAAAGGAATACTTTTAACTGCTATCAGCTCTTCTCTGCCACATTCCCCCCCTTTGATGCTCGACCCCTTTATGTGTTAAGAGCATCATCCTTAATTTGGTGCACTAACATTATGTGGGCCACAGTTTTTCGTTCAACAACTGTTTCCACAGACTTAGAAATGGCATTCGTAATTATCGGGGCCGAGCAAGGGAGGATAAGACAGGATTCCCGAGCAAGGGAGGATAAGACAGGATTCCCGTGCTCCATGCGCCTTCCCAAAGGACAAAGGACGTTCCTCGGAGCTAATGGAGGGTTGCTCCTCCCTGAGGCCCACACATTCCCAGAGCACAGCTTCGGGGGATTCTTGACTTCCCTGTGGACAGTGCCCAAGTGTTAACTGAAGATCGTATCCTAGTCCGCTCCCCCTCTGATCAGCTATAACTTTTGTAATTACAAGTTTTGTGACTTTTACAATTCTTGCCCAATGCATGATGTCTTAGGCCTTGTAAATTTTCTTTACTTTAGGCAAGCTTGATACCTGGCACCAGGTGGTCTGTTTCTGAAAAGAAAAAGTCGGCAAAGTTAATTTTTCCTAAAGTATGCATTTCTCCAAAACATTGCTTCTATTTTTTTTCTCATCATTGTATTAAGGTTTAGGGACAAGATAAAAATGGCTTTCGGTTTTCGGTTTGTCCTTTTAGTACCTAAATTTTTCCAGACCCTAGAACATGTTTTTAAACCAACTGCCAGTTTTTATGCCATGCCATTTTTGTACTGGGACACGGGCAAGCTTTCTGATATTAAAAAAAGAACAGAAATGCTAGTAAGACCATTTTCCAACATGTCCAATTTGTCAGTTCTACAGTAACTAAGGTCAGTCCTATAGTAAATAAAATGACAAGCAATATAGCACTTGGCAAATACAAAGGCTGACAAAGCGAAACAATGGCTTTATCAGTAAAGTCAGCTGAATCCTTAAGCTTCTGGCACACACAGATCGCTCAGCTGTGCAGATCAATTAGCCAGCCTCCAGTGGTGTCTGAAGCAAGGCCGAAGTATTCTCAGGCTTCAAGAGCAGGGCTTGAGAAACCCGTTCCGGGTTTTCCGTCGGCCTCGGTGACTTTCCCGGGTGTTAAAGACAGTAAATGGGTCCCTCCAGAGGGACTTCAGCGGCTGTATGTTCCATTCTTTTACCCACACCATATCATCTGGCTGAAAAGAATGCGTGTGGATAGTTAGAACTAATTAGCAACCTTTCTCTGACTTGACCATTGTCAATGGATGGCATTTAGGGCTGAACCTAAGGCCTGCATTTGTTGTTTTAGAGTAAGATTTCCTAACTCCTTTAAGTCTTCCTATACGGGGTGGCCGCCCGAGAAGAATTTCAAAAGGCAAAAGGCGAGAAGCCTGTTTCCTTGGTGGGGCTAGACCTTACCCTTAGAAGGACTACTGGCAGAAGCTGGACCCAGCCTAAATGAGTTTCTTGGCATAACTTGCTTAGTTGTGATTTTAAGATCCGGTTCATTTGCTCCACCTTTCCTGAACTTAGCGGCCGACAAGCTGTACGGAGCTTCCATTTGATTTGCAGTCCTTTCGTCATTAACTGTACTGCCTCAGCTACAAATGCCGGTCCATTGTCCCCACAGTGAGTTCTGCTCCCTGAGCTGAAGTTCCTAACAGCGACTGCTGAATTTGAAGTTACCACCGAATAGCCCGCAAAGCGCTCCCCTTCCTGTACGAAACTGCTCCTATCCATGAATTATTTGACCTCAGGGTCTCTGAGGGGCTGGTCTGTGGCGAGAGAACACTTCATGTATGAATTTCTCTATGGGTAGTGAGGTCTCTGCCACCTCTAGGTGAATGCATGGGTTCTTTTCCCACAGAGCATTCCCTGACACCTGACCATTCGAGCGTTGGTTAACCAATATTGCCTCTTGTATTTCATTAAATTTATTACCACATGAAGCATCCTGACTGTTAGGTGTTGTTCCATAGTTAGTCTGTGCTTCTGTTATCAGGAGTGCTGTGGCTGCCAGGACTCATAAACAAGGCGGCCGGCCCTGGCCCACAGAATCTAGCTGTTTGGAGAAGTGTGTCACAGGTCTATGCCATGACCCCAGCATTTGCGTTAAGACCCCTACTGCTGTGCCAACACATTCATGCACGGAAACAAAGAAAGGCTTAGTCACATCTGGGAGTCCCAGATCAGATGCACTGGTGAGGGCCTGTTTAATTTGTTCAAAGGCCTGTTTCTGGGCCTTTTCCCATAGCAGAGGCTCCTGTTCACCCGCCCTTGAGGTTTCATACAGGGGTTTTGTCATGATGGAGAAGCTAGGTATTCAAACTCTACAGGCTAGTATAGGAACAGCACCATTCTTAGGGTCCCTTTTCTCTTTTCTTGCAGCTGCTGGTTGGGTCCTTCCTCTTCAATTTTTAGCAGCACTTACTCCCCTGGGATGTCTGAGTTTTCCATGGCCCAGAAAGTTCCTAGAGAGGCAAGCTTATGAACTGTGATTAAAATTTGTCCCAAATGGAAACACATTTCCTTGTGAGCACCTATGTCTGTGGCCCCATTTCCTTCAGAGGTGTAGGAAAAGGCCTACCGTTAAACAATTTCAAAGTTTTAACGAATCCCATTTCAGGGACTTGGATCCTGAGTGATGAAATACCAAATACCTATGATGCTCAGTTTACTTGTGTCTCCAAAGGATTTCTAGTGATTATTATGCTAAACCACAGACTGAAAGATTGTACTGCCCTAGTCCTACATCTGATGGAGTTTTCTTTGGATTTGCTGAGGAGTGGGGTAGGCTGCCACTTGGCCTGCAGTAGAATATAATTCTTAAAATGTTTGAACAGCTTCTAAAACCTGCCTATAGGAAATTTATCTATGTCTAGCCTGTGCTAGCTATCCTGCCTCAATTATTTATTCTTTAGAGATTTTTCAATCCCATAATCACATGGGGTGTTGAGGAGTGAAGGTCTGTTTTCTGTAGCTTCTTCGGAGCTGACAGTGGGCATATTCCACTGTCTCCCTGTCTGACTTGAGACGTCCAGATCTGTTTCAGCAGTGGCATTGTTTGCAGGCACTGACTGGAATCCTTGCATGACCGTTATGTGGGCATGAAATTGCTGGACTCTGGCTTAATAAGAGGAATAAATGAGGGAAGCCCCTCTTTCAAGAAGTGAAGCTAGACATACATTTTGACAATTTTAGGTGGTGACTGATCATCTTTTTTACAAAAGCTACAAGGCCTGAAGTTATTAGCATAACTTAAATGATAAACTTTAATTTCTGTGGCTTTACTGGAGTTTTTAATGTATTTTTGGACTATAGTGGTAGCCTGACAGGTTGTTTTAGATTATAAGTTGAACTGGCACTCAAGTAAATTTTATATATAAAATTTGAAGAGAAATCCAAAAATGTTTGCAGACTTGCATCCACATCCCAGAAAAAACTTTATTATGCCTAGATTGTTTACAGAATTTCTTTTGTATATATATATATATATATTCTTTCATAAACTTTCCTCATACCATTTTTTGCAAACTTATACCATTTTTTGACATGTTTGAACCTTTTATTTTTGCTCTATACCCCCTTTTAAAAATTTTCAGATAACTATTTACTTTATTATAGGACAGAAATTTACCATATAAGATCTTTTCTTAGATAAAAAAAATTTTTTTCTTATATTCCCTTTTTTCCTTACTAAAACCTTATTTATACACCAATAACCTTTTTATATTTTTCCTTTGCTTTTTGCTTTCCTTTTTATCTTTTGATAGATAGCCTTTTACAGTCATAATTTGAATTCACCTTTTAGTAACTTTTTATTAGAGGTTAGGTGAAACATTTAACTTTTGGAACACCTTTAACTTCCACTAGAGAGCAGGTGTCAGGAGAAAGAGGTTCAGTACGAGCACAAAGGCTAAAAACTTAGCCTCAGTATTAATCAAGAAATTAACTTGGACCCCAGCCACATTCATACAGACCCAAGGATTCTCTGGGGTGATGGCAAGCAGAGCACTGGGCTGGGCTGTGCCCCCCCCACCCCTGACCCCTTTAGTCAATGGTCACCATTACCGAGCTAGGTAGTGCCCCCACCTTCAGGAAAGGCCACACCATCTCTTTCAGTGGCCTTTTTGGTCCGGATGTCGGACAAGGTCCTGGGGGCTTAGGCCATCAAGAACAACTGTGCTTTAATGCCCAGATTGACCACATTCATAGCAACCGATACCATCCCCCTTAGCAGGTTTATCCTTATCAGGCCTCTTTTGGGTGGCTGGAGCTTTGCCATTAGTGGCAACTGCCAATAGGTTTGTTTACCTTTCGTCTGGCTGGTACTCATTCTGGAGTCCTTCTCTCTTTTTTTTTTTCCCCTTAATGTCTCAGTTTCTAAGAACTTCAGCTTTCTGTAATTGGGAGTTTGGTATTGATAACCCTGAGTTAAGCCTCTGGAGTTGGGTATTTAATATTCCATAGGATATAATCTTGTTTGCAAAGTAGTGAAATAAATTTTAAAAATGCCTCCGCATAGAGAACTTTGGACCATTTTTCCTTAAGTCTACAAAGTGAATTTAACAGCCAGATGGTATTAAAGCAAAGTCTTGCTCCTTTCCAAACCTCATTATCTGTTAACTTGTAGTGAGTTCAAATTTGATTTTAACAATGCACTAATTGTTGGTTGTTTTTTTTTAAACAATGTAATTTTAATTTGCTTCAATTATTTAAAACCTGTCCCACTGGAGTGTCTGAGGGTACAGATTATTACACATTTTCTTGTTAGCGTTTTTTGAAAACCCAGAACTTGTTTTGAACACTTGCAATTTATTCCTTAAAGGAAAATTCTAAAACAAAAAACTAAATAAAGCCATAAACAGCAATGCCAGGTATCCCTGGGGCCCTGATGGCTTCTTCCAAGCTGAGTGTCCTCGGCCCTTCTTAAAGCTCTCTTTTTTTTTTCCTGCTCCAACGACTTTCCAGTAATGTCTACAAAATGGCCTAGTACAAAAACCCTTTTAGAGTGAACAGACCACATAGATGTAAAATGATCTGTTCCTACTTTTTTCCAATTATGAACAGGAAAAATTGTCAAAAATTCTTATGAATTACTAAACAATAGCTTTAGTTGTAAGATGTGGACAATTAAATGAGAGTGATCAGATCTCACTCTATGTGCCACAGAGAGTGCCTAGTATTTTACCTGTCCCTTGGGTGAAGTACTGAGCTTTAGCAAGGTGACTTAATCAGGTGGGAATGGCCAGTTCCTATGCCTTATTAAGTCCTGCAAAGTATTCAGCATTTAAAGATTTACAAGTCTTGTAAGAGGTGTGCTAGTCAGGCATAGCCAAAAAGCAAGCAGTAGTGTTATCTAGCACTACAATTTAAAGGAGGGACTTAGCAAACATTACACGACCCTAAGAGACTTGCCAACAGTTTTACAGGGACGAGCAGTTGATTACGATCTTAGGCAACATCTAAACCTTTATAAACAGACTTACTTTCAACTAACCTGGCTTCCACATTTGAAAACAAGAACAGTCTATTCAGTCCCTTAGTTGCCAGAGAAAGACTACAAAATTATTTTGTCCAAGGCTAGCGTCAACTTGCAACTGAGTTAACAAAAAGCTAAGTAGCATACAACAGACATTTCTATGTTTCTTTACAGGTGGATTAGAATGAACTCCTTCATAATCCATGAAGAATGCAGGCTAAGGAAGGGAGAGTGTGTGGTCCCGGGAAAGAATTCAAGATAACCGGAAGCATTTCACATACACAGCAGGCAACTTTCCCACATCCTTGACAACAAAAGACAAGAATTTTAACAGTGTCAACAGGTTGGAAGAAACACCACACAAATAAAGGGAGGAAAACATAAAATGACATTAAAAAGCATGCACTAATCAAGTTTTTAAAAATACAACATGTCCCATTAAACACAGCATAATAACCCAACCAGCTTTTTAGCAGATTCAAAACAACAGACACACACAAATAAGAGAATGAGGGGTATGGGAAACATCTGTTTCATCCTTTTCTAGCTGTACTCCTCGCGAAGACATCTCAGACACCTCTTAGCAATTGATAGGTTGGTACAAACCCACAACCCAGACTAACATTATGTGGAACCCTCTTGCTGTCCATCTCATTTACATGCAATCACACAACGCATTAATCCTAGGAGTCTACCAGTTCATCTTCAGACAGTGTTACCTTCCACTGCCTTTCAGCCCTTTCCTTCAGACTGGAGATTACTAGTGGGCTCCGGGAGGTGATCAAGCTCCCCTTCTGCCATCCGTTGGCAAGTCTATGCAAAGGCCCTTACTCCTACCCTTTCTGTCAGGTGGTCATCCTCATGGCAGTTCCTCACCTCCTAAGTCCCTGTTGTGCTTTCGTGGTCCGAGTCTCACTGCGCCGGGAGGGGCCTCCCTCCTATGGATCAAAAGGTCCATTGCACGGCTGGGGAGACTGCCTCTCCTGTTGCCCTGGAGGTCGTACCCCGATGACAAAGGAGGTGGAACACACCGTCTCCAAACTCTCCCTTTCCTGGCCAATGCACCAGAATGTAGCCGGAAGACAAAGAGGCCATGACACTGAGGCTATTTCAGGAAGTAGCAGTTTTATTAACACTAGCGCGACTCAGCAGGCTAACGCTCGCAGGCTGAGCACCCCAGAGAGGGAGGGAAAGGGTCTTATACCTTAGTTTAGATAAGGGAGGGGATAGGATTGAGTGACTACACATTTTCTTTGGAATTTACAAGGTTGTACTCAGCAAAACCAGATTTTCAAGAACAAATGGTCTCCAGGAAATGCATAACAAGCAAGGGTTGTAAACTGATAACTTCACAAAGAGAGGATTTGTGTTGAGTCTGTAAATTAGTCACTATCTTGCATTTCCAGGAAAGCCTTCAGTCTTTGGCTATTTGGTTTTCTCAAGCAAAACCTGTCTAGCAGATTTTCATAGCTTGCCGATTGATCTCCAAAAGGAATACTTTTAACTGCTATCAGCCCTTCTCTGCCACACGATGGCATCTATTACAACAACACTTAGAAACAACTCAAATACTTAAAATATCAGGTTACCACAAAATGAAAAAATGTATGGTTTATAAAGACCTAAAAAGATGTCAAGAAATAAGAAAGAATAAAAAGAGGAAGACGTCCTAAAGATTACATCCATGTTAGTCTATATAGGCAAAGGTATGAATCTGCACATGACACATAACCTTATAAATGGACAGCTGAGCTACAAAATGAATGATGTGTTTCATTTCTTCCTTCACTTCAAAGGTGGTCAGTAGTCAATATGAAAGACATACAATACAAACATAGTTCTGAAGTTCAACACAACATTCAAAATAAAAACGTAGGCGTTTCCTTTAACAGTTATCATAAACAAGACTGCATCAAAAATAATAGTCCCTAATAAAAAAAACATTCCTTCTAGCTCCGAGAATTCTCCTCTAATCCCAGCAGAGGATTGCTTGAGCCCAGGAGTTCCAGATCAGCCTAGGCCACTTGGCAAGACCTCATCTCTAAAAAAAAAAAAAAAAAAAAAAAAAACATGGGGAGACACCTCTTATCAACAACGGTGCCTGAACGAAGCATATTTGTATACTTAACCCTTAACTGTACCCCACAATATCATAATAAAAAATACTGGTTAAAAAAAAAAATGAAAACGAAAACACTAGCCAGGCGTGGTGGCATGCACCTGTAGTTCAAACTACTTCAAAGACTGAGGTGGTAAGACCACCTGAGTCAAACAGGTCGAGGCTGCAGTACTCATGAGCGAGCCTCTGCACGCCAGCCTGGGTGACACAGTAGGACTCTGACTCAAAAGACATATGAAAATCCAGTCGAAACGGGAAATCCCACAGGAAAAAAAGTAGCATCAAAGAGGAAAACAAACGTGAATCCAAGAAGCGCACAAACTCTTTCAGTCTCACCCCCCACGATGACACTGCATGCCACAGAGAGAGGTGCCCTTACCTTGCTGAATGACAGTCTCTCCAGCGATAAAGGAGACCGGGAACATGGCATCAAAAATATCGCTGCAAGAGAGAGGAGGCCTCATGTCACACTTCACACATCTCCTCTATGGACTTCCAACACAAACATTAGAATTAAAGCCCCTAGATTGTCATCTGGTGAGCCATTACGAAGAGCGGTGAAACTTGCAACTGTGATGAAAGTAATCTGGGACCACACGGCCTTATTGGAAAAAGAGTGTAAGAAAGAACCTGCACCTACCTTCTCTCATTATCATCAAGATGTGAAAACAGCACATTCTTTTCAATGGCTTTGGCTAAAGCAGCCATTGTCTTATAATCTTTTGGTATAACCTGGAAAAGAATTGAAGGTCAAATGACGATTCCATAAACCAAAAACATTTCATATTTACAGTCTGCACTTCAATGAAGTGCCAAGTCACATTATAATAGTATTTAAACAAGACTGCTACGAGTTAAATATTTCCACAACAACATGCTTCTACTACCTTTGATTCACAAAGTAATCAACAAATATTGACTAACTAATCCCCTTGCCTACAGCCAGACCTAAATATAAAGCCTGGCATTTAACAACTAAAGAAACAAACCAAAAACACCTTGACCAAGGTCACTGTTTGGAGGCAAAACTAAGTCTTTCAGAGCAGTCGTTTTTCAGGCTGTGGTGACTGCACAAGCCTCAAGTGCCAGGACACTTCTGTTTCCCCCTAACGGTAGCAGCATAACTCAAAATGGCAGGCTACCTCTGAGGAAGAGGAGATTGGGATGAGTGAAGCTTGCAGAATAAAATGTTAAAAGCTAAAACATGACTTACAGGATATCAAAAAACTACCACTATGACTCAGGAGAATCATACTGCCCGCCTCTTCTTCTGCAAAACAGCAGCATGGAAATAACAACCCCCAAAATGCAATTATTCACTGATTCATAGTCACTATTAGTTACCTCCTCTGACAACACGCTATTAGAAAAACTATTCTCCAGTACCCAAGAACTGTATAGGATAGAAATTCATCCACCCCATTTTGTATTTTACTAATCAACAGTGCATGCATTCAGCAAAAGACACTAGGTAGCTACAGAGCGGATCCCAAAACTATCTCCCCAGCGTTCAGATTATCAAAACTACCTTTCTAACGTACGATGCAGCATCTTCCTCCGTGTAGACTTCGGCACTGATAGCACCTCGTCGCCTGCGACCCTTAACCACTGGATTGGGTGAAGGAGGAGAGATTTCATCCTCCCTTGAGTCTGTCCGAGTGCCTGCTTTCTGCAGATTCTGAATCTGTTTTGCCTCCTCCTGAAAGAAATCACAGGTTTGGAAAACAAGACCCCTCAGGATGTAAAGCTGGTCTTCTCATATTCCAGTGATAGTTCATCCCAGTTACCATCTCTTTTATTAGGGGAAAAGGCCAATTCCAAATGGGGAAAAAATGGAGTAAAGTTTAAGAAGAAATACTCTCAAGAGACTTTCTCAGATGATAACAGGTACTCTATTTTATTAATGAACAAAGGCCACAAGGACACCTAACATGTGAGTCAAAAACTAGATATCCATCATAACAATGTATTTATAGCAATGACTTGTGATGTACATTGTAAGACAAAATCCTGGAAATTAAGTTCCTATTTGCTACTACAGATAGCAAGAGATCGTCCCCTAAAAAGAATGGTATCCAGGAATAACAATTCGGGCTCAGCAAAGTGATCCAAGCATGTCTAGATTACTGAATTATTTCATTGATTCAATAACCATTTTCTGGATCAACCATGCCAAGTCCTACGCTAGGCAATGGGAATATAAATACAAGTGGGAGAGGGTCCTGGGTCTGTGGAATTCACATTTTAGCCTGGGTCCCAAGACATAAACAGAGAATGAGATGATGTGATGGTAACCACCAATTTAAATAAGATCAGATCTAATAATACTTCTCCCTGCAGAGCTAGAAGCATTATTATCAAGGTTTATGCGTGAAGTTCAAAGAAAAAAGTTTACCTGCTTTTAAAAACTACTTATTGAAGCAGTTCGTATAAACCTGAGATAGAACTATTAAGCACTCATTTTTTCCAAATCTAGACCCTTAAAATGAAATCCCTCCTCCCAAGCCTATAGTAAATAATGAGTTACTATGCCTGAATAGGGCAAAAATAAGAATGTATTATCTTCTACTTTCTCATTCATTTGACCCATTCTCCATTATTTTTAATGAGCTTAGTTATTTTTTTAAAAATCTGATAAAAATTAAAGAGATGCCCACTTTTTTTCTTCATGTTCCTCAGCCCTGCTTTCAGCATCAAGATAAATATAAGAACGGTATACATGTAACAAGGAACGTCTAGAACAATAACTATCAAGGTGCTAATAGTATTCATTTCCATTAGTAAAATCATGCCTGATTTTTCTTCCTTTTTAGAGGAAGGAGTTATCTTTATTTTTCTCATTTCTCTGTGTTTTCTAATTTTCAATTAAGAAAAAACACAATGAAGAAAACATACTACACAAATAACTTTAATAGTAAACATTTAATACTAAAGTTATTAAGTATCAAATATAGTAACTTTAAATTTATAACTAAATATTGAATGTGAAAGCCATTTTGTATATATTTAGTTACAAGTGTATTTATCCTAAGATATGCATATGTGTGAAATGATTATCTATACAAAATTATTCATTATATCATTGTTTTTAAGCTTGAAACACTGAAAACAACCAAAATGGTCGTCAGTAGGGATGAGTAAGTTACAGTATATCCATGTAGTGGAAAGTTACACATGTGTTGGAAAAGAACAGGAAACTCTTTTTAATACAAATTTGTATGTAAGTAACATCTCTGGAACACTAGCAGCATTCGAGGAAGGCAATTGGGGTATTGCTGCATCCTTTTGTACCTGCAGAGCTTGAATATGTAACCTAAACATGTTTCAGAAGACTCACTTCATTTTAATTTTGGCAGTTCCAATAGCCAGTAAGGTCTTCCCATTTCGTATTAACACATAACTATAAAACTCAAGTCTCCTTCAAGTTTAAAGTTTAAGAGTATAAAGGAAAAAACAAAATCTTCCCCCAAAATTTGTCACTGATACTTCACAAAAATATCATGAAAAATTTCACAAATAACCTTTCATTTGGGACTATATTCTACTTTACTGAGTTTTTAAGATAATTTTGAAGTAACAAAAGCATTTTGATTTTAACATTGTTGCATGGATTCTAGTCTTTGAAAAACAGCAATCTAAACAGAGCCTAATCTCAACAACTCAGAGCCTTTGCTGACATTATCAATTTCCACTATGCACTCTGATACATTTTTATATCCTTTCCCTTGCCTGTCAGTTTCCTTCCTCTCAGCTCTTTAACTGAGGTGGACACTCTAAACACCTTGACGCCATCATTACACATTCTACTTGTAACAAAATATCACACAGACCCCACTAAAATATACAAATATTATGTGTGAATAAAAAAAATTTTTTTAAACCCTCCCAGTCTACTCACTAGTTAATTCTGTTATAGACTCTTAGGTTCAAACTCTGCATTATGTTCTACATTAAATTCTCCACTATGCTCTCGACTCTTGGGTTCAAATTCTATCTACACCACAAACATATGTTTTCACAATTATCTGTTCCCTTCCTGCCCTTGCCATTCTTCCCTGTAGGTGAAGTACACTTCCCACTCCAATGACTTCAGAATTAGCTAAATAGAACCTGCTCTGGCCATGGAATTTAAGTAGATATGCCATTTCATGCCCACCATGTAGTAGTTTTGAGCTTCTGTCCTCTCTCAGCTTTGAGAACAGCATGCCCTCTGTAGGGGTCACTCCTTCTGTTCAGCTTCAGAACAAAATATGTGGAGTCAAGAAGACAAGACAGGCTGAGTCCAGAAGAGCTGCATATGACCAGTCTGTTGTAGTAAGCCACTGAAATTTGAGGGTTATATGTGGCCGTACAAAAGGTGACTACTACACTCTGTGACCACAGCAGCCAAGTTACTTGACTTCCTTTAGTTTTACCTGCTACTTCTGTAAAATGGTGACTACAACCTACTTCACACATTTAAAATAATGTATGTATGTATGCATGTAAAATACTTTACAATGTACCTGGCATCTAGGAGACACTCAAAGGTCACAGCTATTATAATTCCTCTTATGTATCAGATAGACAAGGTTTTAATAAATACAAGAGTAATAGAAAACTCAAGTTCCAAATGGCCGTTTAAGTTAAAATGCAGAAGCTTTCAAAAGACCAACTATGAGTTTTTTGATTACCCCTCAGTAATGAGGACGAGAATGTGACTATGTTTTCAGATATACAAATTAACACAAACATACATATGAACATCGAATATATAGAACAATGACCTGTCAAAAAGTTGAAAATCGAGTTACTTGAAGGTCCAGGTATCTACATTCAACCCTGGCTAAAGAAATGTATACAAATGAGCAAAGACCCTTAAATTATAGTAAAAAGCATGTTGAGTTGTGTCTTTTATTAAAAGGTAAAGAAGCCAAGACACATTAAATATAAAAATCTCATCTGCAAAGAAAATATTTTAATTATTTCTTGCTTTCCACCTTGGTTAGTCCTCTAACAGTACTACAAGCTTTGAAACTAGTACCACACATTCAATACCCCTATAAAAAGATACACACTTAATGTCTCACCAACTTAATCCCCTCATTTGATGGTTTCTACTAATGTCCAAAGAAGAGGGATCACCTTACAGTGACCCATTTCAGAACCAGATCTCCAGGAACGCACTTGATTTCAAAACAAGGAACATCCATGGCCTGGTTCCACAGTACTTCCACTACTTGGAAAATGATAAAAATAAGAGAAAGCCAGAATACCTACTATAATTCCAAGACAGCAAAGCTACATTCACAGGGACTGGCTAGTTTTGGGTTTTTGTTTGTTTGTTTCCATTATTCTAATCATAGTACTAAATACCATTTTTAACAGTTTTTCAAGAAAACGGTAGAAAACACCTGATCACTAAGCTACCCAGATATCTTTTAAATCTTAGAGTACAGATGCTTTTACCAATAAACTAAGCTAAAGTAGAAATTGTCCAAACCAATGGTAAATAATGCAAATACTTCTACTATAAAACTAGATAATTAATGATCATATGCCAATTAGTTCCTAATCATGAACCATCTCAATACTTCAATATGTGCAAGAAAATCTTTATATTTATCTCACTGATTTATAGAAGCAGATCATACGAATACTCAAAACACTTGGTGATCGACTTTTTCATCCATCATTTCCTGAGGGAAGTAAATTGAAGCATTTTCTTTTATGCAAAATTACCATTTTGCTCAGAAAAGCATATGCCACATATGTAGGTCACATGAACATACAAACGTAAATGAAAAACAAATAATTTAAAAACTGGATTAACACTGAAGGTTATCAGTCATGGTATCTTCATTCCACAGTAATTCATCTGAGACATACTCTACAGGAAAACGTACTTCCTAATTCAGAATTTCCGATAGCATCAGTCACCAGCTAGATTCAAGTGTTTCATTATACTAGTTGTAAAAGATTGGTTAAGAGCTATTACTCTTATTTGCTTTGTTCAAGAAAAGTACTAACTGCTTTCAAGTACTATGAAATTTCTTATTTCACGTAACTGTTATACCACTTCTGATCAGTTGTATTGTTATAGTCAGCTTTAAACATTAATTAAAACAATTACAAAGAACTATGTTTGGAAAGCCCTCTGTTACCCAACTACACTTGGCACAGATTCATTTTCTGATCAATTCTACTACGAATTTAAAAATTACTACAAATGCCTTATCTACATTTCTTATTTGAAATTGTTTTAGACTTACTTGGTCAGAGTTCCTTTTCTTTCAAAAGATACAAATTAGCAACATTCGACAGCATTACATTTAACAAGTGTCCTGTCATCTCATCATCTCCCCACACTGATTTTTTTACCTTCTCCAGCCTCTCAAAGTACTCCCTGAGGAAAGCCATGGGTCTCTCAGGTCGCGCAGTGCACAACTGCACAATAGAATCCTTGAGCAGTGCCTGAATGTTGTGCTTCTGGACATAAAGCTCACATTCCCGGAGGCTGCGCTCCTCCTCGCTGGCGGCAGTGCTGCCAGACGCCATGGTTCTCTGCAAGAAAAAACATGGTTCTCTGCTTGTGTAAACTATTTATAAAGCGCAAATGCCAATCTGGCCTTTGACTTACTAAATTCATTAGGTAACTGATTCATAGGAATTCCTTTTTTAGTAAGATTTTGTTTTTAAACAGGGAGGTGAAGTTAGGGAATACAATAGGCCCAGAATTAGCATTCTTCCGAATAAGTGTTTTAGTTCTTCCTGCAGGATCTGGGCTCTGTAGGCAAAAGCGAGACGCCATAACCTCAGCTCCCGGGAGGAAGTATGAACTGAGGAGTCAGGCTCTCAAGGGAATTTCATTCAGTTCTCCCTTGCAAAAGAAATCATGATGACGTGAGAAGTGTGTAAATGGTAAACAGGACAGAGAATTACAAGGGCACACAAGTCAGCTCTAAGTGAAGGCAAGGAAGCTCAATGAAGAACCTCTGACATTTCCTATATGCAACTTCTATCCCACAGGAGTGTCCTACTGTCACACAGCAAACCACTGGAGTGAGGGTCCGAGTAGCCAACTAGTACCATCAACATTTTTAAAAACACAAAGGAAACCTCAGACAAGTTTAAAAGCAATCTTTTACTCTGGAATCTTTTCCCAGATTCCAGTCCTAAATGATAATACACTTACCAGTAGGAAAAGAGGGAAAATCCTTGGGGGGAGGAGAAGTTAAATCCTTACCAAGTAAACTGCAAAAGACTTGGACAGAAATATGGACCCAAAAAATGTTAAAATGGCTAAGTGTCAAACTTACATGAAGGTTCAAGAGACAAGGTGCACTTAATGGATTTCAGAGGGTTCAAACGAGGGAAACTTTATGTGAAGTAAAGCAAGTCGAGATATAAGAGGAGCAACCAACCTTACCCAAGAAGTAATCGCTTAGTAATTTAACAGGGTCATACACAGCTTTCCTTCCAAATCCTAATTACTAAGCAATTAAGACTAGACGACAAGAGCGTGCTCCCCTCCACTCAGCAAGTGAATTTAACACTAATCAGAATTTTCCAATTATAATGCATTCAAAAGCCACTGAGAAGAAACTGTAAATTTAAAAGAGAGAAATACCAGAGTACAAGAGCTATTCTAAAGTGCCACACCGTTACTCATTTTGTTTTGACAACTTTCATGATAAAGGTCAGTTCCAAGTAGACTAATTAACATACCATGAGAAAGTGTGTGGCTCCATGGCAAGCACACAAATTAGAAGCCATGGAAAAAGAATCATGCTGCTACTTCAGAAATAAACACTAAAAACAAACAACAATAAAAGGGAAAAAAAAAAAAAAAAAACCTCATTTAACCTCATTTACTTTAGGCTAGATCCATACCAGCCACTTTTCCAGGACAGGCAACCATACGAACCGAAGATGTACTTCAGCAGAATTTCACTGAAGGTCACCAAGAACAATAAGAGTCAGATCCTTCATACTTCAAAACACTCCGTCATCTTTCAGAATATCAAAGCATGTATTCGACGGATCGGGAAATCATTCTAAGATCAGTTCTTTGACCCGCAGAGATGAGAGCTGGGCCTAAGGGGTGGAGCTGCTTTGTCACTTGTTTAAAACAACGAACGTATTACAAAAGCCCTAAAGACAACACTGGTGATAAGCTGGTCACCAGCAGAAATCCCCCAAGATTAACGCAGTCACCACAGGAAACCCTGAATAACCACATTTCGGGTCTTTGACTGGTGAGAGACCGGGCCTACGGGGTGAAGCTGGTTTTTCATGCGTTTCCAACGACAGCCCTGGTCACACGCTAGGCCCGGGCAGAAATGCCCCAAGATTAATGCGGTCACCACGGGCAACCTGCGTAACCAAATTTCACAGCCGCGATGGGCGGAATCGAATATGCCCGAATTCTGCATTTGCACTTATTTTTACAAGCTACGCCCTCCCTCCCACCTATTATCTTACTCCTTGAACTACTGCTTTACTCCTGCACTGCCTCTGCTCCCAAGAAGAGACTCCGACTCTTTCTGTGGAAGCCCGGCGGTGATGTCATGGCTTTGGAAAGGATGGCGTTCTGGGGCA